ATATATCGTTTTAAAAAAATTGAAAACTATTCAACTTTGTTACAAGTATGATCGAAAAAAAGTCTGAGTGAGAGATTTGCCAAAAAGTTTTCAATGAATCTCTGTTTTATCATTTAAAAATTTTAGATATATGCTTTACTATTTTAAATGAAAGCTTAATATATTTGCATATTTATGCCCAGAATTTGTGACAGATTTTAAAATTGTTTAAATTTTAGTAAATTCTATTTAAATGTCTATATCCATCTGAAGTCGACTGTTTTGTTTGAAAACTTTGTTTCAAGCTTTGTTTCAGCTTTGTTTTTTTTTTGTTTCAAGCGCGAAATGACTGCAGAATTAGGTAATGAAAATGCTACCGATGACTCTGATTACGAAGAGGATGAGAATAGAGATTGAGCAACACTCCAAGAAGTTGTTGATCGGATTGCGAAAGATGGTGAAGAAGTAATGAGCATTTTAAATTCTCGACGACTTTACTCTAACTCCTTGTCCAAAACGTAACGGGAAACCAAATGATGTAACAAATATAATTTTATTGAATTCATTAAATCATTTAATTGGCAAACCAACATACTAAATCATGATATTAATCCGCTAGCTATTAAATTAATAAATAATATGACAGAAATAAGGAAAACTGGCTTGAATCAAAAAAAAAACTTATTTTTAATTTTTTACGCTGAATTATAAAACATCTTTTTGTTTTAATAACTGCACATTCTATCGAGTTGACAAAATATAGAATTAATTTGTTATCATGACATATCAGATTCCTTTTTACAATATTCCACTAACAACCGTGTCAACTATTGCTAATTGTTAATTGATTAATTTACAACTACATTTAGATAATTATCAAATGACATAATATAATTCTGAAAAAGAAATGGTATTTATTTTTCATTTTTAATTTAAATTTTTTATACTGCAATGGAAAATCAAATTTTCACCGATATTTTTTTGTGATATAGTCAATTTTAAATAATAATTTATTAGATCAAAATTTACAGATGGTTATATACTTGCACAAGCACCATTTGATGAAACGACAGAATTCGATTATGAAAGATTTTATAGTTGAGAATTATTTGTTGAAAACAGAATCAATTAGATATTTTGATCGTACTCCTGCACTTACGCGTTTTTCTGATATACTTATCAGTGATAACAAGCATAAAAATAAACAGTTCAATTACTGATTAGAAGAACGATGAAAGTATATTTGACCAGAAAAAGCTTTAGTTTTGTGACTTTTTTTTAATTGATAACAAAAATAGAAGTTTAAGTTTTTTGTATTTTTCACTGATAAAATTTTCAGACTACCTTATACGATTGGTGCAATTTTTCGATTAGTTATATTATTCACAAACATATAGATATAACTGCAATATCAATCTACATTATCGAAAATGGATATATGATAAGATTATTCCCGATAGTTTATTATAATTCCGTTCTGAGGTTGATATTTATTATTTTCTTCAAATCATAAAGTGACCTTTATATAACGAAACTTTATAAGAATATTGCATAAATAATTCGTTTTAAAAAAAAAGAAAATGTTGGAGAAAAAAGCAAGAAATTAGATTATTATTTATTATGAATTTAACTGCTTTACAAATTTTTTATTGTAAGAGCCAATATATTTTCTATATCTTACAGGCGTTCATTGTTCTGGAACTTATGCTGTCCTCGATAATTGTTCTCGATCGAGTAACTACTGAAAAGAAGGCATAACAATAGTTTAGATATTAAAGTTTGCAACTGTTAGGTTATCGAAGTTATTGTATTAATATGCATATTCCTCAAATTGCATATGAATCTTACAGTTAAATTCAATTTGTTTCATAGCCTAAATAAAATTAGCAAAACGTTACTGTAATTTGGACTGCACCGATTCTTTTCTTTTCACCGCTCTGTTGTAATCAAATGTACAACGAATTTGCGAGAATTTTGTCGTGAATGATCTTAATATGTGAGAAACAGAACATCGGGATTGTAAAAAAGAATAATCACAGAAATTTTTATGAATTTCTATTTATTTTAATTCTATAATCTTAATAAATTGGTCTTTTTTCCCATCAAAATATTTCATTTAAATTTCAGATTGGTTATTGGAAACAGCGTGTAAATGTACAGAGGCAATGTTACGGATTCACGTCCCTATTATTCACATTATAGCCATGTGGCTGATTTGATCGCATAAATCAAAAGAAATAAATTTGGAAATAATTAAATAATTCAGCAAAAAAAACATTATTACTGTATTACAATTCGGATAAAAACTATCCGCAAACGCAAGAAGCAGTATATTCAATTTTGGGCAAAATCATCACCGGATAAAATGGAAAAGTAGGATGAAATTATAGGATAAGGAGTAAAATGCCATGGAGAAGGAATAAGACGATATTTGAAATGCTATTTGATCCATTTTGGAAAACACGAAATTTCATTTTGAAATTGAGTGTAGGTGTATTTGAGTGCTTCATTGCTTGCAAAGAAAAAGCGTTTACCTACCCGATAAATTAGAACCACAAAATAAAGAATGAAAAATAGAGGAAAGGAATAAGAAAATTTAAATTAAATTAGACTTTTATTTATGCTTTTCATTTTTACATCAATTTGATGTACCATAGGATTGAAAATGAATTGCTAATTGGCTTAAATAACTTAAGAGGAATTATAACTCTCTAAAATTAATTACATTGAATTTAGCAATGTTTACGTAGTTCCGTAATCTACTTTAATTAATCAATTTTAAAGTAACCAATCAATTATTATTTTGCAATTTATTGGAAAATATCTCACATTTTTTATGCTCAAGCTTTTTTAACCTGAGCCATTAAGATTTAACAGATTTCTTTAGTTATTTAAACTTATTAGCAAATTTGATTTCCTTTAATTTCATTTATTACATTTACTTTTTTTTAAATATAAAGAAAGTTCAATCTTGCAAACATTCTGGTCATATTTATAGTATCTTTAAATTGTTATTAAACAACTTAATGACTTTATTTGTAATGTTTTTCTTGAATAATATTGAAATAAATAAAAAAAGTAAGAATAGAAGAAGAAAGCGCGATTTCTGAATAAAATATATCTAATCAGAATGATAAGTTGTCAATTGTATACGATGTACAGAAAATTCGATAAAATTGAAGTTTTTGAATTCAATTTGTGCTCCTAACAATTTTATGTGAGACATTGATTTTTAACTTTTATACACTGATTAAAAATTTCGATCAGTAAAATCATTCAGTTTTCGACCAGTAAAATAGTGAAAAGCAGTAGAATTTTCCGGTAATAAAGTTTTGATCGTGCTAAAATTCAAAAATCTTTTTTCAAAAACTGTCAATTTTCAATTTCTATTAAAAGTTCTTTGTGTGCGACAAATTTTAACCAAATATCTTGTATGTTTCGTAATGCGTCAATGCGAAAAAAACTAACTGAAATTATTTCCGATTTTTGCGAATAAAATATCTTTTCTATTATCCATTGAATTGTTATTCGACTTTCTGCAATTAATTTGTCACAAATAACTTCACTTTCAGAATTACTTTTTGTCAACATTCCACGCCATACTTCCCTCGCACAAGTCGAGAATGTCACAAACCAGAGTGGCAAAATTGTCTAAATAATCCAATGCAACTGATATCTCATCGTCCATGAAATGACCCGAAGCAATGGTTGCGATATAATGCTCACGTGTGTTTGTATTTGGATAGTAGGGAGCAGATGTGATAACGATGTCTCGAATAATAAAATTTATGAGATGTTAGATGAAAAAAGGACCAATGTTTATCAATTCATTTCATTTATTTCTTATCGGAAATATTTGATGATAAGGACATGTCAGTTTCAGTATATCTTCGAGAATATCTAACGGAAATCAGTCTTTTTTTGTGGCGTTCAATATATGAACTGTTGTATTCTTCCACTGAGCGGGATACTGATGCTGACGTGGGCAGAAAAAGATGGGAAAGCGAAGGACTTATTGTTGAGGATTCTTTGCCGTAATAGCATTAGTATTATGGATTAAATCATATATAATCTCTTATAGTTGTTTGATTCCAGGTTTTGATCAATTTGGAGCGATGATTTGCAAGTGAATTGCTAACAAGCTAATCTCTCACATAATCTTCAATTCAGTATAACAATATGGGTACCAGTATGGAAACAGCAATTTCATCGTCTACTTCGCTCACTGCAGCAGTCGGTAATGATGCAGGAAAATTGCAGTGGATAGTACTAAACCATGTGGTATATGCTTCACTCTGTTTGTCTATATAAATCACTCATGCTTTGTTAACATTGATAATAATGTTTCATTTTTTGTAAATGTAAGTAATGCTGTGTAAGTTAATACAGGAAGGTGTACAAATGCGTGAAATGTTCTGGGATTTAAGTAAAGATGTTGACGTGGATATGCTGGCATGTAGTGATGCTGTCAAACTATTGCGCACGATGACTGAGGTATGGGTTCAATTCATAGATCTTTTAGGTCTTTTGAAACGGAATTTTGTGGATGTAACACTTGAAATAATAAATTACGTATGAATTGTAGGAAGAGAAGACACAGTGTTGCAAAGCATCTCTTTCTCTACTTTCAAACAAGGATGATCCTCGATACATCCATTATGAAAGGATTTTATCTTCTATATTTATGGCTGCTTGCAATGAAGGCGTCCTTCCTCTTTCGTTAGTTCATATGAAATGCTTTCAAAAAAATGCTATCGTAAACTCTTATTTAATCCGTTCGACTTTCCTTTATTTTTATTTAAATCACATCCAAATTTTTAATAGATGAAATAAAACTCTATCCTTCCATTTAATCATGACTCAAGTAAAAAATTTTTAACTCAGTACAAAGATGAGAAATTAGCTATAGTTTGATAAGTTAAGCCGGAATCACAACTACACTTCTTCCAATTTAATATATGTTCAAAAAATATTTTCATTCTAATATATTTTCTCAGTGATTGTTGTGAACTTCTCATTCTTTGTACCAATTTTACCCTTACAACGCCAATGGATTCTCGCAAGTTTGAGTACATGCAGAAAAATTTACATCTAATCGATTACAAAGGGCTTCGGAACATTTTGAAGTTACTTGTGGTTGAACGCATGCAGGAAGTGCCTTCGACAATTACACATCATCATCGCCATATGCTTCTACCTGTAGAAAATGTTCGGTTTTCTCACCTTTTTTCGATCTTTTCTCATGACTCAAGTAATTTAATGCCGTTTATATAATTTCACGTGATAATTATTTCAATGCTTCCTGAAGGGATTACTTATTTGGAATAATTTTTTAGATGTTACTAACGCTAATCGATCGGCAGCTAAACCTTCTTCCATGCATTTTCACAATTACTGAGCTACATCGTGTGTCCAGTAATTCACGTGCCTTTCTTTTGCCAGTTTGTTAATTTTTATACCAATCACTGCTTGTTTTTAAATTTATGTGAAAAAAATGACACCATAAAAGCGATTTTAAAAGAATATCATATTAATGTTTTAACGAAAATGTTTGCCAAGACGAATTATTTGCTTGCAGAGAGTAGCGAAAAAATTCAACGATATGTTTATTTCTTTTCGACCACTTACCGAAATGGTAACAGTAATCGGTCGATCATGGCTTTATCCTGTAGCTGCTCACATTTCTTTCCCAATGAGTACGCCATCTTGGAAACTTGAGGTCACCACTACTCGGTTGCATCAACGTGCTCATCTTCCATATAAATCCGAACTTTTCGCTCCACAGTCTTTTTTGCTTTATACACTTCTTCGACAGCCTCGCGGAAAAGATACAATTTCTGTAAGTCAGCAGTTTTATTCGACTTTTGAAATTGGACTGAAAATGACGAACTTAAGGAATTTAAGAGAAAAAATCTTTCCCTAATAACTATTGATGGAAATTTATCAACTTGATATAAATGATAATTGACAAGCATGAGATCTCTCTAAAATTAAGAGAGACCCTAAAATTAAATGCGCACTTATTGTAGTATGTTATGCGACAAAACACGACCTTGACACCACAGCGACTGCAGTGTGATGAATTGCTGCACATGATAATTCTCGAAGCTATGAGCGAAATGGAAAAGACAGACATCCGCCTTGACAATCCTGCAAATCAGTATCAGTGGATGAACATTACCCAAACAGTTACATTCTCATTGCTCCACGGAAATGCCTCTTTTTCTCGCCTTCTTAAAATACTATACGAATCAGTAAGGATAGATTTATGTCGAAAAATGTGTAATACGTATTCTAAAAAGTTTCAGTGAGCCAAGTTTTGGCGCATTGCAACTAATGGAAATTTTCGTTGATGCCTTGTCTTTCCGTCTTTTGAAATTCATTTTTAATTTGATTTTGATGAAGGTTTAGTAGAAAATAATTTTCCATTGTTTTTACATGGGAAGAGAGGAGGTTAATGATGTTCGTTTTATTCTCCAACGAGTAAAATTATAGCTTTCTGAAACAGTATATCGAAAAGGAAGAGATGAACTAATGTGGGTTATTTTGCAATACGTTGCAGTTTATATCGACAGAGTATCAAATGAGGAGATGATTCGCGTTGCCGAAATTTATAATTTACTTTACAGGTCATTTCAAACATATGTTTAGATACAGTCTTTATATATTTGTTAATTAACATAAATACTCCATTGTGAAAGTTGTATGTATACGGTATTATTTAATTTTATTTATTCAGTGATGAGCAGACATGGTCTGGTGCAGACACAGATCCGCTGTTGTTTGTCCGATTCCTGGTTCCAGCTGCTATCTGGATACATTTTTATAAGAAATTAGGTAACTCTCACACGGAGGTACTTCCTAAACCCTCCGAATCCCTCTGGCGACAAATACAGTTTCTACAGGAAAGGACAGCAGATTCAGATCCCAATATCCAGAATGTCGCTGATCACAATGCCGTTCTGGCTGCTGTTGCTAATGCTTGTAAGGAATTAAATTATTTTTTCCATGTCACTATAGAAATGGCAATTGTTAGAGCAGTTATTGATTCCTGTATTATTTACTTTAATACTACTTGTAGTACTACTATTTACTTTAGCAAACACCCTGACCTTGCAAAGAACTGTACCGACATGATTCACACATTTTACAGTATAGCCATGCTCATATAACAGACTTGTCAATTTTTCTGACAAAGACGTCATACCTCCTAGGATAGCTGAAGATAATATATGGCTTAAAGAGATGCACGCGCTGGTAATTTTGTATATTGACGAAAATGGTATGACAATTTTATAAAGCTTTTATGCCGAGTATGTTATAGGATTTTTTTTGGATGAAACTATTAAATTTTTTATCTATTCTTTTAGACAGTAGCGATATGCCGAACTTCCAGAAGCTAGTTTTAACAGCAGTGGATGTCTTTTTGGATGGATCTCCAGAAGAAATGAATACCGTTTGGCATCTTCCGCATGGAATCATCTCCTACTCAAAGAAGACACCTTTACCACTCTCATTGATCGATTCATTGACTTTCCATGCACGGAATCATTTATTCCAACTTTGTTTGTTGAAACTCACAGCTATGCTTTCAGTTCAGCAAACACAAAAACTGCCCAGTCCTGCAACAATTGGTACATTATAACTTATTTCATTTGTGTTTCTTTCTTTGTAGTTACATTTTGCATGGCTTTATTCATTCTGTAGTCTCCTATCTTATGCTTATTCAGATACACTTGTGCGTTTGGCGGTAACTACGGAATTTGAATATGGCGTGAAACAAGTATTGGCGTTGTTGTCATCCACGTTAGCTTCAGTAAACAAAAATGCAAATTTGGGATCTGCACAACAAGATCGATCCCGAGATTTACTTTTTGTTCTTTGTGATATCCTCTCATATCGTTTCATCAGTTATCCATTTCCAGTAGGATCAAAGGTTCATTTCTTCACCTTCTTAAATATTCTGTTGGCTTTGATGTTATGATATTCTTTCACGTAGTAAAAGATAACTTCTCAACATTGGTTACTTTTGTCTTTCAATTATCTTTTTGAGGTTAATTTGATGCTTTGGTGTTATACAGCACTCGGAAACAGTCAGGTGCAAATGAATATTGCATTATGTTCGGCTCTAGAACAGGTTATGCTACGATATTGGATGTGGAATTCGCCACAAGAAATGTTCTATCTGAGCAATGCTTTCCTTGGTCAGTTGATTATCTTTATTATGGTCTCAGAAAAGTGTTAGCGAAAATAAGGAGCTGTCATATTTTGAATCCAAAAAATTTCATCTCTTTGATTTTCTAACTCATAAATCGTGTTCCCAGGTGTGGATTTATTTTTGCGCTTTAGCAATAGTTGCTTAATTTGACTTTAAAAATTAAAAATATTTGACAAATTTAGGCAAACAAGGCAAATTGGCCGTCATATTCAACACAGCTAATCCAGCATTTTGTGATCCGCAGCATGGGAATGTTCAAATTGAACAGCAATATACAAATTCACATGTATCCCTCGAGCTCTTACGATGCTTACTTCTTTCCATGTTCAGATCACTCAAAATGACAGGCATTTATAGTATTTATCTTGTGCTTGCCACTTCATATTAAAGGCACTCCCAAAATAAGTCTTAAGAATAGTTGGAAATAATTTTCATTTATTATAATTTATTTCGTATTTTCCGTTTGTAGAATTTGTTATTTCTTTGCTTACCCCAACCCTTTTTGTTAATATTGAAAAGTAGTGCTTCTTTTTTCGTTGAATTCCAGAAGCGTTGGGAATATAGTCATTGTCTAATTAAGAAGTCGTAACGGTGTTCCTCACTCTTCCATACATTATTAAAACATGCATTAATGTCCTGAGCATGGTTCACATGTGGCAAGGTTCTTTTTGTTTGATTTTCTAAGTTTATTTAATTCTAGGAATGGAAATGACGGCAGAAATGATGCAGCGCTGCAATGTGAATTTCTGCTGGCCGCTGTCGATTAATCGGACATACAGCTCTCAACTTATTGGTTGCAATGTGGATGACGGTGTTGCAGATACAGCTATATATGATGAGCTCATGCATCGTGTCATTCAAGAAGTCCATCAAGTACAAGGTGTAGATTGTGATGTTTTATTGAATGTTTTCCATTAATGCACTTTATTCGTCACTATTTGAAATCTCAAAATAACTTCAATAAATTCAAGTGAAATTTGAATTCTCTTGTTATTATATGGCTCTGAGGAATGCCTTCAAAACATCTTTCAGTTATAATGACACTTGTAATCTAACAATGCTTTGGAGAACCATAACCAATAGTGCGCTTGAATATCATCTCCTGCTTCTAACTTTTAGTGTGACAGTTAAGAATGTGAACAGAAAAATTACATATATCAGGCGCTGAGGAAATATTTGCAGAAGATCTTAATAGAATCTTTTTTTTCGTGAGAATTATACACTTTCAGAAATAATTTATGCGCAAGGTTTGGCTGCTGAAGAACAGCTGTTGAAGTTCTTTTCGGGTGAACGGAGACAAACGATTTTCTGTGTTGTGTATAATATGCTGTTTGAAACAAAGAAGATACATCCAGTGATTTATTCGTAAGTTAATTGTTAGATGATGTTTGTGATTAAGTTTTTGGCTGTAGTCATTTTTAGACTTTCAGTTTTTCCTCCGTCATTTTTTTGCTTATTAATCTGTTCCGGTTAATGATTTGTTTAATAAGCAGGTTTTCTGAATTCCACGAAAAGCATCTTAATCTTGGTAAAATTGCTGTATAATATTTGTAGGAGTTATTGAATTTATATTTTCTTTCCACTTATGTTTGCTATGAATTTGTTCGAATTTTAAAAAATTTTTTTTTACAGTGTGCTAAGTTCAATGAACAGTAAAGAACTTACAGCAACTATAAATAAATTTACGGATTATTTCATATTTATTTTCAAAAAGAACCTTCCCTCAGACGATCAGCAATTTGCAGCAGTAAGTGCTGTAGTTAGATAGCTCTATCTAAATGAAGATCCTAGGAATCTATTTACTTGTTTTCTTATTTCTTTTGCACCTAAGCATTATATTTATCTGCTTTCTGCACATATTGTTTCTTCAGTTTTTGTGACATTAATAGTATTGCGATTTGCTTGTGCAAGTAATAGTACATAAGAATTTACTATTATTGCTGAAACTTTTTAAAAATTGTTTTACGCATTTAATCAGATTTATTTTCCTAGTTTTTACCATTCAGATGATTGGAATCTTAAACGACATGGCATTTAATTTACACCTAATACCGCTTGATCGGCTGCTTACTTCTTTGGTTCTTCATCCAACTGATGACGGAGCTACTGAAATTGCTATGCTCATAATCCATTCTTTAGTATATTTATTTTGCGTCTTTATTTCCAGTTACTTTTCTTCTCCAGAGTTTATTAGAAGGCACTTTATGGTGAAAGAAAAAAATTAAGTTGTAACAGAGGAATGGAATAAAAGATTAGGAAAAGAAACTGAAAGAACATAACAGAGAAATATATTGGGAATCGGTTTAAAGTTTTTCGACCTAGGTTTTTACATGCAGCCTCATAATAAGTAAAACCTTTAGCATCTAAGAGAAATGTCCTCTTTACCTATTTTTATTTGTTAGTTTTTTTTGTACTCATATAAAAAAATGAAGTTTCAGAGCGCATATTTTTATATTTTTAGGTCGGCTCCTATCCTGATTTGCATAATCGAATTACGGCATTGGTGCATATAATTCCATCAAATAAAATTGGCAACACTAGTGCTGCATTTTTTAATAAGATGTCAGAGTATTACTCGGTGAGATCTTACGAGCTTGGTAATGTCGTATTTTCCCCTTTTTTCAATTACCTTCCACTTTTGTAGCAATTTCCGGAACTATCATACAGAGAGATGGAAGCAAAAATGAGAAGAGAGATGCAAATTGAACTAGGTATGCGATCAATGGAGCAGCCAACCGTTAATCCAGAACTGCATATGCCAATTTACTATGGTAATATTATGGAACGCATTCTTCCGGTACGTAAATGCAAATATATTTCATAGTTTCTCAGAAATTCAGTACTATGAACAAAAATTTAGGTGCAGTTTTAAAATGATCACTTTGATGCGTTTTACAAAAGCTTATTACGAAAAATGGCTAAGCTTACAATCTTTATTTTTGCACTTGAAACTTACTTTCACACTAGATAGCGTTCATACAACAAATTGATTTCAAGTCATTCTAATATTCTTATTTCGTTTTCTTTTAATGTCCTGCAATCATAGCAAATCTGAATTTCGGAACTCAATTTGTTCTTCGAATTACTTTATACAAAAAATTATGGTTAGATATAATAATAGCCTTAAGCTTTAATTAAAGCTTTAATTTTCCTTTATTTAACGGTATTGATTTTTTTATAGATTGTGGACATCATTTTACTTCGAGCGATAGAAACTGTGGTTGCTGATCAACTGTTCACGACACTGTTGATGTGCTTCAAACCATGCTATCGATATCATCGTAGCTTTTCGTATTTAAACCTTATTGATAGAGATCTTTTTCTTCATTTGTTATTTTTGAGCTTATGGTTTTCAGTGTCATGTGTCAGGACTGGTAGACAGTGGATGTGTATGTTATACATAAACATGAGTAACTTGAAAGAATTTTTATGGTCGTGCTCTGCATGGGTAAATTTGAGAAGGCGATGTGGGCGAATAATATATGCACATATCTGTAAAGTAATCCGTGTTACAGCGCAGCCAGCAGCTTATATGTATAGTGTGCTGTATTGTTTGGACAAAACTATCTCACATACGGTTCGTGCTAGAGATTTTGTGTTGGAAATTTGTGGACAGCTGGAAGATAGGTAACCACGTGTTTATATTGACGAGACTCATTTAAGTTTTTGAGTTGTTTAAACTTTTAAACCAATGCCGTCTAGACCGAACGTTTATTAACTCGTTCTAAGATAGTTTAATTAGGGTCTTAAAATGTCACCGCAAAAGCTTAATAATTTTTGGGGCTGAATTTTTATTTTTAGATTGTTGAATGGTTTCCTTAAATAAAGTTGAAATTTTATTGAGTTGGAGAAATTTTTAAGGGATGGTAAATATGCTCTCTTAACGCCATCATTTATTTCCGACAATCATCAATTATCATTGCCATCTCAGTTTTGTCAGGCATTGGTGGATCGCATTTTGCAAGCTTCCAACTATGCCCATCAGCCACCAGCTTTTGCCTATAAGGTAATCAATTTTTTATTGAATAATGTTTGAAATTATTTTATTAGTAATTCAGTTTACTAGGTTACATTCAGGATTGGAGATTCGCGGAGATGCCACCTGCAGGACAAGCTCTTACAGGCGCGTGTATCGAACTGCTTGCGTCTCCACATGCACCAGTTATTACAGCCCATGCGCTCATTGATTTGGTCTTTATTCGGCCATTGCATCAACCGTTCGTTTTTCTGAACTTTGTGTTTATATTCTTCCTCTTTTCCTACCTTCTCCCCCTTAACTGAAAATTGCTGGCATTAACTTGATGACGCTACATTCTTTGATATCATTACTTCCTTGTCTGTGGATAATCTCGAGCATGTTCGAATTTTCTTGCATGTCACATCGTAAATGGTTGTGACCTAGTAAAGGGCAGTGATCAATTTTGGTAATGAATTTACTTTTTATAGCCTTTCTTTCAGATATGCCACTATCAATGCAGTTTCTCTGATTTTAACAGCTCTGCCAGTTTCTTTCCAACAAGTTTTTTATGAGCATATTGTATCTGTGCTCGATTCGGAGGCACTACATGGTATGACTTTTTCTAAAAATTTTATTTTTTTGAAGATCTAAATAAAAAATAGATTTTAGGTGATCCATCCGTTTGTTTTGGCAGCTTGGAAAGTGAATGCTTCTTGCTCACCGAAAATCAATTATTAACGAATCTTGCACTTGGGCATGCCTATCTTCAACACTGCAATACAGTTCGTATTCGACTATTCTCATAGCTCTATGTGGATTAAATTAATTTTAAATAGAAATGAAAGTTTTTAAAAAGTTTTGGAAAAGGGAGAAATTAAAAAAACATCCATGTTGAGATTCTTTTAATAGAAATTTCTGTTATTTTTACTACGACTTCCATTCATAAGTTAAATTCTAAGTTAATGTTCTAGAGTTCACTGGCAGCTTTGCCTGAATTTGTACGTGATCAGCTTGCGCCAAAATTAGTCACGGAAGCGCAACTCATATTCGTACTTCGACTCGTCGTGCCCATTTTACAACGATTTTACGATGCCAAAGAAAGAAGCAAACAGATACAGGATGTATGTCTTACTGTTATTTTTTCACAACAACTCTTAAATTTATATTTTCTTCTGTATTTAATAAGACAATGTTCATACACTCGTGATTTTAATTTGTGATAAATTCATACATAAAGCTTCTAATTACTGAAAGATAAAAAACTGCTTCTGTAATTGAATCAAAACTTTAAGAACATGTAGTCAGCAAGAAAAAAACATAACTATGGATTCAAAAAATGTATTAAATTTAAAGTTAAATTTTCGGGTAGTAGCTTAAATTTTATTTTATTGATATATTCATCTAAATCACAGTGAGTTTTGGATCTGTTTTGGCGTTTTTTTTTTTTCATTAAAAAAAATCAGTTGTTTAATTCAAGACAAAGTTCGAAAAGACGAAATTAATTTTAGCTTGCCGTGGATGTTTACAAGATGACGGTGAAAGTAAACGAACGAGTAGGCGTATTGAAATATGAAGATTCAATTTGCGATTTTTTGTATCATATGAAGTATATGTATGTTGGTGATTTTGTCAAAAATGAAGCAGAGCAGGCCATACAACGATTGTCACCATCTATGCGAGACAAGTTGAAGTACATCTCACATACACAAATAAACGCTACAATTGATCTGCCTCATAAACTTGCCCCTGGACCATCCAGTCTTTTCTAGAATTTGTTTTTTAACGGATCTCTTAAATGTAATTTGTTATTATCTGACATTGTTAAACGTTTTCCAGCGTATCTTTTAAAATAAAGTAATTAAAAAGTCTTAGCTTGCTTTTTATATTCTGTTACTGTCTTGCGGTTTGCTGTATATTGCGGTAATGCATTTCAGTAGTGTGATTTTTCGATGATTTTAACGAAAGTATTAATAAGTGGGTGGTACTGTAAACTTTATAGCTTGGATTTAATGGGTAGTTCTGGTTTTAAAAATCTTTGTGGCTTTTATTTACTTCCTTGTAGTTCGTATTTCACGGTATTTAAAATGTTTTTTTTTTTCTCATAAGAAAAAATATTTTTTGGAGTGTTTAGGATCTAAATGTTATGAAACGGGATGTATGGATGGAGCATGGTGCTGGAAGTCATACTGCACAATTCTCTCAGACAATGAAACTCATACGAGGGGTGACTTTATTTTTGTTTTTAAGCTCAAATGTAAAATGTTTGCACAAATATAAATATTATTCGAGATAAGGGGGTGCTTAATTTTGATTTCACTTGTTAATAACGGTTTACAAATTCAACTCTCATTTCGTACTAGAATCCACTCATTATAGAGCTCTTGGTACTGGGGAAATATGTCATGGAGAGATGCGGAGAAAGTGCTGATGAGTCAACGACCAGGAACCTATCTTGTACGAGATTCAGCTAGTGACCGCTACATTTTTACAATATCATATCGAACCAAACATTCTGTCCATCATACACGTCTTGCACAACATGGTGGAAACTTTTGTCTTGGAGGTAATTTAATTTTTTCATTATAATTCATTAAAATATGTAATGTTCAGAGGGATTGTCGGACTCTTAATTATTATTATAGCGGAGTCATTTTGACTGTATAGTAAAATGACCATATTCGATTTTCAGTTGTACTGCAAAAATTGCACAACATTTTTGAGAATTTTGATTGTTTTCATATACCATCTATAGAAGTTAAGAATAATGGTGGAATAATGGTTTTTTCAAATCTAGAGAGATTTTATGTTTATCATGAGTAAAAGGCAAAAAGAAATTAGGGTTAGGAAGGATTTAAGGTTGACTGAAAATCGTGAAGTGCTTAAGGTTGACTGAAAATCGTGAAGTGAAGTGACTTTAATTTTGTAAAATCTCTTTTTTAATAGCTATTTTAGCAAGTATTTTTTTGCTTTCTAAACATACACCTACGACTTCGAATATTTTGTCTTCTACTACATTTGAAAGTTCAGAAATGCATGTTTTAGGGCCAAATTCATTGGTGAAAGCGAATTCGTTAGTTTCGTTTATCGAAAATTCGTTGCAGAGCTGTGGTAAAAGAAGGATCTGCATGTTGATGCATCCGAAAAGTGATAACACAGGAATCGAGATGCTTGAGCTAAATCATTTGCTACATCGACATGAACTTCTACCATCCCTGAAATATTTGTGTAGAGTGGTCATACGTAACTGCGTTGATAAGGAGCTACTTCCATCTTTACCTTTGCCACCAAATATGATTTGCTATTTAGAGGACCCGAAATATTTCGTCCCTCCTTATTCACATCGGTGAGTTTTAGAATTTTTAAGTTAAGGAGCTTTAGATTGCAAGAATCATTATTTTTTGAAATCTAACTTGCTCATGGTTTTTTCCATTTTCTATTTTTTCTCACTATTTCAACATCTCTTCACTAATAGTAGCTTGTATTGACATTCTTATTGTCGGCTCAAAATTTTACATCGAACTGTTCTTTGTATTCAACTATTCAGTTCATATCACACTAACATCTTTGTGATTCCTTTCCTACTATTTTTCAAAGTTGTAAGATAATTGGATGAATGTGCTTAGCAATTGATACATTTCATCGCATTTATTGGAATTTGTATATATTATATGATGTTATTTTTAATTTTTTATTCATTTAATATTTCCTTACGGCGAATTAAGCTTTGATAAAAAATGAAGCGAGCTTTTTCATGCTTGATTCTGAAATTTGTTTGAAAATAAGAGGATCTTAATAAATTAATGGTAGTTTTAGATGTTTTATTAAGTACAGGGAGACAAGATGAATTTAGGAATATGAATTTTAAAAAAATTGGCTAACTTTTCTGTCAATATTGATGATGTCTTTTTTGTATGCCGTATTGTAATATTTAACTTTTTGGAAGTGCCGGTATGTTTTATTTAGTTTTGTTGGTGATTTTCTATGTTTGTATAAGGATATATTAATAAAAGTAATAATAATAGTCGTAGTAATTATTCGCTGGCATTATTGCGTTGCTTTTTAGAATTAGTTGTTTGAATGAAACGAATGAATATCGGTCATTCCTACCGGTATCTCAAATTTTGTTTGTCGAGTATATAACATTTTGAAGTTTTCTTTTGCTATCTTGATACTATTTAATTCTAATTTAAAACGCATATGATGCTTGTTGAGTTCGAATTTAATACTCTAATGTGCAGTTTCTGATAAATCCCGAATATTCAAGAGCAAACTTCGGTCAGCGACCTGTCATATGAAGAAATGCTTAAAGCATACGCAGCACTGAGGTACCTGAAGCGTTATTCTACTATATTTGCTGTGAGTTCGGGTGCGCTACCTGCTGCAATATCAGTCATTCGAGTTTCTGGTTGGTTGATTTAATTATCGGAATTTTTTCAATATTTTAGAATAATGTTTTGTTTTTGAAATTGCTCTATAATACGTGTTTCTTTTTTTCCTCACAAAATTTCTGTAAAAATAGGAAAAGAAAGTCGACGATGTATAGAGGAGCTTACGGGTCGGAAAAAAATTGTACCGAGGCAGTTATTTTATACGAATATTCAGCGGAATGGCGAGCTTATTGACCGAGGCATGGCGGTTTTTTTACCAGGTCTTTTTTATCAGAAATCTTTTTTGTTGAAGGGAACAAATTAACTGTAATCATGTTAGGCGTTTTATTTTTTGGCGGTAAGAGTTTTTCAAAGCAATTTTTTTGTCGCATTGTTTGCTATTTGATGAATTTATTCTGTTTGGTCTTCTTATAAATCTTTTATTTCAAAAGGCTGAGCATATTGAAGCAATAAAAATTATAAACGTGAACAGCAACTATATCTGAATAATTCATAATTAGGCCTTAAAAAGTTTTCAAAAACCAATGGTGGAAATAATGATTGAGAAAACTGTATGAAATGAGCCAGATCTTACTATATTACTAGACTGTGCCATCAAGTATAGGTCCGAAAACATCAACTGGAGAAGATGTGGCTGAATTCTATGTGCACGGTAGTAGAGCAGTTGTTGACTGTTTGTTGGAAGCATTAGCGCAATTCGATAACATGCAACCTGCAAAGGCTGGGGAATTTACGAAAAGGTGAAAGAGATAAATAGCTTTCTTACTTTATTGCTCAGTTCTTTAAATTTATAAGTATGCAGTAAACTTTTCTTTTTAAACATAATTTGTATATGTTTCTGAACTTTAAATCCAATTTTATAGGGCATTTTTAAACGGGAAAATGACGTTGCATGAAGTACAATCGCTTGCGTGTCTTTTGGCTGCACGAACACAACGTCAACGACGCTTAGCTTTGCACGACAACACTTTAGGCAAGTGAGTATTTATATTTAGACTTGCTAATGATGATAGCTGTGCGGCAGTGACATTATCACTTGCAGATAAAGTGATGGAAGGCATAAGGAAGCAACTTATCGAAATGCGTGCTTCCGTGGAAGCATCCATCGATTTTGGCGATGACGTTGGATTTCAGTGGAAAAATATTCGTGTTGGAGTCAGTTCAATGATTAACGAATTGAGCAGCATTCAAGAACAAATGCATCGAGGGACGTTAATTAATGAGGGCTTAAAGATAGTTATTCTGGGACAAACAAATGTTGGAAAAAGCAGTTTATTCAATCGCATGGGTAATCTTTTATCTCATTCTCTTCAGGATTTATCTAGTGAGAAATGTATTTTCGTACATATGAACCAAATATTTATAGCAAACCGGGACATGGCCATAGTATCAGATATTGAAGGAACGACTCGTGACTCATTGGAAGCAACGGTTCAATTTTCTTGTATCCCGGTGACCATTGTCGATACTGCGGGAATTCGTAAAATTCCCTTGGATTCTCTCGAAGCAGAAGGCATCCGGAGAACACTGAGAAGGTTGCTCACTTCCTATTCCAATAGATTACGGCTATGATGGGATTTATACATAAAATATTATTTTCTGATGGAGATATTCAATCGTGTAATTATCTCATGTGTAATTATCTCATCCAATTGTTAATTATCTCACGCTCATTGAAAAAAAATGACGACAGATGTTTCCTTTAATTGAATAACTGAAATTGATATCGACAACAGTGTTATTTTTGTTTCAAATATTATTTCTTTATTTCATATTATCTATACAGTCGGTTAACTTCTTTGTGATCTAGATGTCAAAATTATTAGAATTTTGGATTAAAAAATTGTGAAATGATATGTACATAAATTGAAATATGGAAATATAAATAATCTGATTCTAAAATTAAGAGAAAATTAGATTTGAAGAAAAGCTACTAGAATATCTATTATAGAGCGGTGGAGGCCGATATTGTGATTGTAGTAATAGACAGTAATGTTTGCAAGGATTTCGAAGCAGACGTACGTTTAGTGCTTTCCTGGTGTCATATCGAAGAAAATACATCTGTTTTTGTTGCTCTGAATAAGTGTGATTTACACAGCGTTCCAAATAATGTATTTCTTCCGTGGCCTGCTGTTAATATATCATGCGTTTCCGGTGAAGGCATCAATTCATTGGTCAGTTTTTAATTTGGTCACAATCTTATATGATTCTCTTAATTGCTTTGCTTTCAAAAATTTTGTTGAAAGTATATTTTGACAAGTTTTACGGGTAGTAGTCAGAATGCACTTGTGACGGTGGTAGTTCATCTATTCATGTAGGATTACGGATAATATTCATCGTATTCAATTTTGTCTAGTTTTAGCTCAAAATTATTTGTGAACATATCAATGAGCTATGTCCAATGTCCGATGATAGCGCTCTTCTCAGTAGCCAGGTTCACCGGTTACTGATAAAGGAATCCATTCTTTTCCTTAGAAAGGTATTTTGCTTAATCTTTTTGATCATATCTCGTTGCTTTTTCTTCCATTTTAATTGAAAAACATTTACAAAATGGTTTCGCGGTTTGTGTATTGATCAAATTTTGTCTAGTTCTGTATCTCTCAAATACTTTCCTTATATTCCTTTGATAATCCATGATCCCTTGTTGAGAAAGGATTGGTGACTATTACTTACATCACAATTCGGTTTAAAATTCGTCAGTTCCTACTTTTTAACTGTTCAAGGCACTAAGAGTGAACGATGTTGCTATTGTAGCAGAACTGTTGCGCGACGCATCGGATTGCGTCGGTGAGATATCAGGTGCAATTGTGAATGAACAGATTCTTGACCAAATATTTTCCTCATTTTGTATTGGGAAATGAAATAATAAAAGTTGCATATAACAGTGGCTACGTTTTAACTTCTGCAAATGCTTTGGATATAACACTTTATATTCAGTCATCTTAACGTATACACTGTTTTTTGTACAAATTTACAAAATATTATTAAAAAATGTGAAAACTTCTGGATGACGAATACTTTAATTTTTATAACTGAATTAGAGTTGTTGGAAGCCAACTTCGATTCGATAGAAATATTTTATTCAAATAATAGAAATCTGAAAGCAATTCAGCAAGGTATACATTGTATAAAGCAAGATAGCAAGACGCACGGTGTGACACTTTAAATATGATTCATTTATAAAGTTTCCAACATTAGTAGTACTTTTCAGTTATTTTTCCGCACCGTTATCGGCTATGGAGCTATAGAGAAGGATAAAAATGATAAGTATAAAAGTCAAGGCAATTACAGAATGAATTCATGAGACCTGAGAAGACAAGCTACTTATGGCTTTTTGCATTTATTTCGACTTCCTACACGATGTACCTCACGCGTTGTTACTTTCATTGCTTTACTAATTTCGTTCATTTCATGCAATATCTGTTCACACATGTCGCTCGAATTAGGCTGCAAATGATTCCATTGCATTTGAAATTAAACTTACAGAACATTTCAATTCTGTAAATTTTGATTTTTCAACACTCGAGAATTTCCCTATTTAGTTTCCTAGCAAAAGGATATTCACGCCAAACACTTAAATATTAGAAAAAAGCAAAAATTTCAATTAAACCCACCAATTTACTCAGTCGTTCATGAGCTCGTTGCAACAAAACCTTTGCATCGGTAAGCACTGATTGTAAGCGTTCATTTTCTAATTGAAGTTCTTCCATCTAAACAATTTCGGATTATGTATATGAGAAGTAATTTTGAGAAAGCGAGACATAGACTTGAAAAAAAATAAAGAGAGCAGAAGGGTATAAAGTTTTGACAATATGGTCGGCGAAATCATAAATAATATGTCTGGAAATTCAAAGGAAAAGGATCTTGACTTTTGTCCAAAAACAGATTTTAAGGAAAAAAAATCACCGGAGCAATATTTTCTTTAGTTTTCTCAAGATCTTGCGAATATGTGCACAAGGAAGCGATCTGAAGTCGTAATAATCTCATATTCAACAGCACTTCCGACATTTCTGCCTCATGCTGAAACGTTCTTGAATGAATTTCTGGTGAAAAAAATTTTCCCTAGCCAAAAAATAATGCTAGTATATAGAAGCAAAACTTACTGATTTGTTTGAAATGATCTTGAGCTTTTGAACAATTTTATTGGCATCATTAAATAGTGTTCCAAGGTCAACTGATATCAATTCTGAAAAAAACAATCCATTATATTTCTCTTAATAACTACGTGAAATTTATTTTTAAATAGCTCTTACCATTTTGTGATCCATTTAGACCGATGAAAGAGAAGTTACCTAATTCGTCATTGTTTGATCTTGAACTTTCAGTTCTAGTTCTGAAAATTTTCAGGTATTAAGTTTTCTTGCGTAAGCAACAGTAAGAAATTCCCCAGCTTCTCTTAGTGATCTTTGTACAGATCAGCCTACTTGCTGCTCAGCACAATACTGCTGCAGATGAAACTTAATCCAATACGAAAGAGGTTTGACACTTCGATTTTACTATTCCCTATCAAAAACTAACTTGTATAACTGAATGGTCTGCAGAAAAAAGAACTAAAAAAGTTAACTTACTGTTGCAAATTTTGTTGATTTTCAGAAATATATAATTGCAGTTTGGCCTCTTCCGACATTATTTTCTCTCGCATTTCATTGATTCCATCTGAGAAGCCTTTCAAAATTCGGGCATATGTGTGGTACAAGTCATCTAGATCGACCGATTTATGTGAAACCCTGAATATTATTGTGCATATTGAGTATTATGCCATTTGCTACAGTTTAAATAGTAAACTCGATTAAGAATTATAATTGTTAAGTCCTGATTATTTGAAAGTCTTTCCTTAAATTTGTGGTGTCATTTGCTCTTTCATACCAAATAAAACCACTTTCTGCCTTCTAGTTGCAAAATACTTTGACTTCTACGGCCGAAAGCAATTTGGTGGCACAAAAACATGTAACAAACAGAAAGATTGCAAATCCCGAGAAAAAAAACAAACTGCAGAAAAATGTTTACCCGCAGTTAACTGCGGCCTCGTTATTCCATTGCGCTGCAAGTGTATACATCCGTTTCGTAAATGAAGATAGTTTTTTTGCCTTATTCGTTAATTCAACAAAATCATGTGAAGAAACAGCAGTCATAGTACCAATTGTCTGGAATAATGAAATGTTTTAATACACTTATTTTTATGCTTTACTGAACCAAGATACTCATGTTAAAGTAGCCTGTTAAGCATCACTAAATTTTCACATCCACGAATTTCTAAAAATTAGTTAAGAAAATGAAAATTTTCGTCTCCTTAAAAATCCAGCAAAGAAAATTTTGTCCCATAGTATTTACCGTTGTATATTGTTTAGAATGTTGCTTCTCAGAAAGAGAACTGCGATTTGGCTTCGAAATTAATTCTTCGTATTTCGCTTCGACATTCATTAACATATTTGTTAATCTTTCATTCTACAAAAAAAAGAGCTAATGAAAAGATCACTGAGAAATAGAAATCATGTTCTAAAAAAATAGTTTACATTTTCCTTGATACAGCTATTCTCAGATTTTAGACGTTGCAAATCTCTTTCCATCACTTTAAGCGACTCCTTCTCCGCTTGAACTTGTTGTTGAAGAGTTAATAACTTCTGTTTAGCTTCATTATGCTCTGTCTGAAATAAAAAAAGTCAATAATCTTCCCAAGAATTTGGTAACGCATGACAACACTCTCTGAAGCAAAAAAGAATATTTGACCATCACAAAACTGATTAAAAAGATATTGTCTTACTTCAAGATAAGCATTCTGATCAGATAATCCGCGACATTTTAAACTGATAGCACTGCGACTTCTTTCACACAGATCCAAATCTTGTTGAAGCTTAACCGACTGATTTCTTAACTCATCAATATAATGACTAATTTTAGTGAGTTCTTCAAGATCTGCTCCAATCTGAGACAGCTGCAAAAAAAACACTGTTACAGATTTGGTCTCTCAGAAATCGAAGGATAAAGAAACAATGCATTTAATATTACTTTTTACTAATGCACAGCGGTTCTCAATCAAATTACCTGAGCCAATGCTGCTATTTCCGTATTTGCTGCTTCTATAATCGGTTTGTTAATTTGCTCTCCAACAATTCCCAAACTTTCTTTCAAATTGCCAATTAATTCATACATCTTGTTGTCTAATTCAGTAATCTCCTGCAATATAAGAATGTATCTTCAAAAATGACGCTTTGATAGCTATTAGTCTAAAGAATGAGCAACTCACATTTCTGTAATGAACTAGTTCATTGTTACTTGATAACAATCGGTCGTTATAATTTTGAACATCCATTACAAGCTTCTGGAAAAAAAACAGAAGTTAACAGAATTAACATGCAAATTTAATTTTATAATATTCTTAAGCACTTGAATAATGTGTATCTCGCATCGAGTTCAAATTCTTAACAATGAATAAAGAGTACACTTGGATTTAAGCTATATAATTGAAATTAAGCAGTAAACCTTGATCGATTCATCCTTTATTTTCAGAATATGCGTAAGTTCTACAACTTGAGTTTCCAATTCGTGACACTTCCCAGTCATTTGATCATTTAGCTGTTTCATTTGGACTTCTTTTTCTGTAACAAGAGTTTCTTTTGTTTTAACTTTTTGTTGAAGTTCTTGCATTTTTCCATACAGGTCATTGTACTGTTGATTCTTGTACTGAAGCTCTGTTTCCTTATCTTTCATTGATGAAATCATTTCATTTTCTTTTTCTGCCAAGTTTTTCTTCAATTGATCCAGCTCATCGATCAGTTTCTGCTTTGATTCTTCCAAGTCAGTAATACGTGCTTGCAACTTTTCATTAAGTTCTGCAGCTTCATTTGCTTTCATCTTTTCATTTGCTAAGTCCGTGTTTAATTGTCTATAGGCTTTATGAGCTCGTGAAAGAGCCGATGCATTCTGTAATGGATATTTCATATCATTTGAAAAGATATATTAATGCTATAACTGAAAACTAGCTGATATTGAAAAATGAAACCTGCTGATTTTCACTGGATGGTACCGATGATATACCAAAAGAACAATTTAATAATGAACGTTGCAGATGAGCAGACAGTTCTCCGATGCTTTCTTCCGCGGCTACAAAATGGACAAAAATTGAAATTAATTAGATTCGTGATCAAAATTAATCTGAAGCTGCAATGATCTTGATGAATTTTATTATCAAACAGTCTTGTATATTCATACCTTCAACATCACGGCTAATATCAATAGCTGTTGCCAGTGAGTGGTCAAGATCAATGCGAAGTGCTTCTATCTCAGCAAGCAGTTCTCTGCCTCGGTCACCTGCACCCAATTCATCAAGAAGAGTCTAAAGAAATCATGTCTAAAAAAATAACAAATGTTCATTTTAATGCAGTGTTAGCGAACAAAAACTATCCCCTATTGAAAACAATAATACTACATGTTAGAAATGGTAAAATAGAGAAGACTCAAAAGATGTCATCCAATAAATTTAATTAACCATTGCCAGTTGCCCAAGTTGCCCAAGCTGATAATCGCACTATTACTATTCGAAGTTCAAACCTGCAAAAAGTTAGCTGTGCCACGCAATTTCTCGAAGAGACGTGTGCAGGCAGACTGCAAAACCGAAAGTTTTTTCTTAACTTCACCGAGATCCTCTGTCAATACCAAAGACTTGCTCAAAAGATCAGCTGCTGACGTTATATTTAACTGAAAACGTTCCCTTTCGCATTATGTGAATGAGGAATTACTGAAAAATTATTTAGGTTAAAAAAAGAAATGCACATGCTAAGAACATTGTCAAAATATACCATGTCAGAAGCTCCTATACTTCGCGTAGTATTACCAAGTTGTTCATTCGAATATCGCTCTCCGGAACCATTTACAGCATCAAACAATGCAAGTTTTCCTCCCAATTCTTCCTCGTTTGAATCATCAGTAATAATTTTATTTTGTGCTAAGAATGCTGCTAATTTTTCATTCTGAAAGAGAATTCTAAATCATATTATCGAATCTTTCAAATTTACTATTGACCATATAAATTTGCTTATTCTTTAATTTGCATTTAAATAACTGATTTATTTGTCTTTTTAGATTAGTTTTCTAGGCACGCTGAAGTCTTGAAATTAAACCTGAGGTTCTCATAGATAATTTAAAATAAAATACTGAAATCTAATATTTTCCGGTAATACAGTGGTTCTCACTTCACGTTCACAGCGCTTAGTATTCCATTCCGAGCTTTCATCTTCCGCGGATGGCGTTTCGCTGGGTTCAATTTCTGACAATAGATCGGTATTTACAGCACCCCATTCAATTACTTTCTTTCTAATAGCATCATTCTCGGCAGTAAACTATAAGCATTCACGTAATGCTCTCGTTGTAACCTTACAATTTTGTCAAAACAGATATATTGAAAAGTGCAAAAGTAAATGAAACCTGATAAGGATACTTATTATTTCAATTACTTTCATACTGCGATACAGATATTATAGGTAATGCACTAATGCTAAAGCGTAAACCTCATTAATTTGATCCAGTATTCCTTGAGCATAAGGATTTAAATTGGGAACATCATGATGCAGCAAGCAGGAGCTGTTCTTCTCCTTAATGAGCACAAATAAGATTTGGAAATTTGATTATGAAGAAATTTCGCTTCTAATTTTTTCAGTAAACTTACGAGTTTCGAACTGGAGGACGTTTCAGCATCTCCTGATTTTAATTTTTTTAGCAATATACGAATGGTGCGGTCTCGCTTACTCAATGCAACTTCGTTGATAGTATGAGCTTTTGCTAATTGTTCTTCAAAGATCTAGAAAAGTTATGTTGAACAAATAATATTTCTTCAATTAAGAGAATAAAGTTTTCATAATCTTCATTAGTTAGTGGAAACTTTAATCTTGCAAGTAAAAGCCAGAGTTAGAAAACACATGTCAAAAACATATATCATTGACAATACAGTTCCATCAATTATAATAACCTATTCAATTTTGAAAACATTTCGAACATAAAATTGAGACAAAGAAGTAGAATAAGAGAAGAAGGAGATAGAATGAAGATTTCTGCAATTAGTTACTTAAAATTGATAAAGAAAAATTAAACCTGCTTCTGATATTCTAGTTCCTGCTTGGCTTCGTCCGCGGTTTGTTGAAGCTTCGTCATTTCAGCTTTTAATATTTCACAACGCGTTTTCTCTTTTGTGTAATAAGCAGTCTGCTTCGCCAAATCATTTTGAGCAAGCTTTAGCTGATCTTGCAATTGAATTATATCACGTTCCAGTTTCATTCGAAGCTTCTTCTCATCGAAACTTTGCTGGAGAGCTATCGAACGCAGTTTCTCGATTTCCCTGCGCAACATTTGGAATGATTAATTAACATCAAATAGATATCCCCTTCTGAATGATTAAACAGTATAAAAAGAAAGAATCGAAATGGACCATAACAGATAGAAAGAGTAGATTATTGGTCGACAAGGCAATAAATGATAAAGCTACATTAGTTTTCAAACTTACATGCTTCTCTCCGATATCAACGAAATAGTGCTCAAAGAACTGTCGCCTTGACTTTCGCTACCATCATCGCGTTCACCATGTCTTTCAGATAACTGCTGGTGAAGCTAAAAACCGAAAAGAGATTAAAACAAAAGAATTATTAATATGCTCACGAAACTGAACCAAATCTCAATAGAAAACTATTCTAGGATTAATAGAGTCAATTTTGAAGAAAAAACCACAACAGCTACCTCTTTCAATTCGGTTACAAGTTCATCCTTATCCATAAGAAGCCTTTCGCGGTTTTTTTCCCAATCTTTTCTCTCACTTTCAAATTTCGATCTTTCTTCATCAAATTTTTTCTTTTGTAACTGCCACATTTGTTCTATTTCTACCCGACGAACTTTCTCATTATCCAGTTCCGTTTGCATTATCAGATACTAAAAAAAGATGCTGAAACAATAAAGAAAATTTTGTCACGGGATTTTTACATTCCACAACGCTTGAATGTCAAAAGCACTTCGAAAAAAAAACCAATGTTTAAAATTGGAATAATGTTAACAGTTTTCAAGGCGATTTTAATAAGTCATCTTTTTCGTTTTTCCATATTTCTTTTAAACAGCGAACAAATAATGAGAAGTAGAAAATCAATATGATTTACTTCTTCAGTGAAATCTTTTCCTTCATTATTCAGTATTGACGGCAAATTTCTTTTCAGCACAAACAGTTGTGATTTCAAGTCGAATACTTGCGCCTTAAGTTGTTTGTTTTCCTCCTTAGTTTCAGAAATATTTAGATAAGTACGACGATGCGGTACCGATAGCGTGCCTAAATTTTCCAGCGATTGAGGTAATACTTAAGAATAATTATGGATAAAAGCAGAATGCTGATAAATTCCACTCTGACCAAATGCGAAGAAAAATAATCACAAACGAACCTTCGCTAAAAGCTGCCCCTACAGGTGTTGCATCTGACGAAACATTTCTGAAAAATCCTTCGTCGTAAATTTGGAACTACTAATATATAAGCCAAATTCGGACAATATGCATAACCTTATGTGTTTAATTGTACTGGGAGTTAAAGCGCAATTTTGACAATTCTCTGGTGTGTGTTCTTTCTGGGAAATGTCGATCTAAAAGACTAAAATCTCATTAGATAAGCACGTGCAAAATGTTGATTTTACTTGATCATAGGAAATACCTGCATCGGTTTACAAGTATTAAGAAGCGACTTCGCTTCCTCTGTTAAAGAATCCTGCGTGACATCTTGACCATCCCGATCGCTGATTTCGTAAGTGAAATTACGCTCCACGTCATTATCTCCTGCGATGTTTTCAGATGACATCTTAAATTAATGACATCATTATTATACCTTTCTTCAGTTTGTTTCAGAAGCCCAACACTTCATCGAACCACAAAATTGCAAATGTGAATGAATAAAACAGTAGTATCACCCCACACTGATGACTTCAAATTGCCCATTAAAGCGGCTTATTATTGAGTGCACATACCATTCATGCACACTATTTCTGATTTATTCTTATTGATGGATTGAATAAGTATAACTAAGCTACATAGAGTTATAGCGATAAAAAACGGTGGTACTAATGACTGCTCATTCCATTATCTTTCAGCTATATGAAATTGTGGACATTTGTAGTAAAATGATACAAAAAAAAGAACAAAACTATTTCTTCGATTACTTCTATCCCTATCCATCAATTAATTAAACAATAAGCAATTCTCGTTGATCAATTTCCAAAATGGAACATATCAGTGATTTTGAAATTGTACAGTTTCAGTTCATCGTCATTTCTACTTCCGCAAAATTACATGGCACAACAAATTTATCTGTGCAAACTTCCACATCCAAATAAATCGTATCATTAAATTGACACCGAGCAATCGATATTTGAACTTCGCTTTTAGCGCCTTTCATTTGAAACGCAAAGGAATGAAGCAGCGCAAAAGCAACCGAACATTGGTCACAGTTCAACGATCATTTTTGTTTAATACTTATTGTTAGGAAATTTTGGATCGGTTCGGAAATGTGTTTGTATCGGTGAATTTCTAAATTTTGAACACGAAATTAGTTGTCCTCTTCTTTACGCATGGCCTCATTCTTCCTCCTAGCAACTCATTAGTTCTTTCTGTGTTTTATCTTCAATTCATTTCGTTCCTGTTCCAGTTCTGATTGCATAGTAACTTTCTCATTCCACACTTCTCTTTCACTCCTAAATTCCAATTTCGAACACAACATTACGTTGCATTGAGTGATCGTGGAATCATTTGAAGATCAAAAATGGAATCATATATGCCAATAATGCCTTTTTCTTTTATAGTAATTATAACAGCTGCCATGAATATAGTCAGTTCATGTCCATTTACCATATGTATCATCCATTTAAAACAGACCACTTTTCATTGTTAACTGACTATTCAGGGAAGCTGATCGCCCAAGAATCTTTTCGGAAAATTTTCATCGGAAACCTTAATGGAGGGCAAACAAATAATGCCGTATACTGCATTGCATGTCCATCACTAGCAATGGCTACTAGTATTGTCCATATGAGGAAATATGAGTTTTACTCGACTGTACAGATTCCTGTCCTGTGAATGAGTTACCAGTGAGTGTGATGGTAACTAAGAACACACACAATACAATACAATTGGTGATATGATCGGGATAGGATATACTACTACTACTACTACTACTATTACTATTACTATTCATTATGTTTACTTAAAACGTTGGAGATGGAGCTGACAAGAGAGGACAGCGTACGGAGAGATAACGCCCAGATATCTGCATACACACACACACACATACTTACCGCACGACCGATTGATAGAGTAACGAAACAATGTATTTGTGTGTCTGTCTGTCTTTGCACCTTTTATGCACGTCGCTTAACCTTATCGTTTATTTGCATGCATCATTCAGACCGGTTGGTAGGGTGTTGTGAAGGCGGCCGTGTTTGTCCGCATTATTGCATATCTGTTCGTTGTGTCCTCACTTTTGCTGTGAAGTGTAAGATCAAACTTGATGACAGTGTACAGTGGATGGCTTTTCTCGACGGCTTCCTTGGCAGAGATTGCTTTCATTATTAGAAAAGGGAAAGTGTTAGTGATTATGAAGAATTAGGGCTTTTTATACTCCCCTGACTACATGGGAGTTATGTTGATTGATATGTCTAACAAAAAACTGGTCATCATCGAATCGTTTGCTATTCCAATATTGGTTATAGTTTGAGTTCTTTGACTTTAGATGGTCAATTAAAGATCAAGTCATCGTGTTAGGATGAGATTCTGTAATGGGATTTCCTGGTGGACTATTTTTGTAAAAATGTAAAAATTCAATGAAAGATTTTTGAAAATAAGTAACTTGTTTAAATGTAAAATTTAAGGAAAATTATTTAGTAAAACTCACGTTAGCATTTGTGATCTCCGTTTCGTGATCATGATGTTAGCACGTGCCCACAGTATCAAACGACTTAGATTTTCAACATATGTATCAAGTATGTTTAGAAAAATCCAGAGAAATGGGCAATATACAAGTTCCCATCCCTCTTTTAAGTAGCTTTTGGTTTTCACAGGCAACATATGCTTCAGCCGTATCTTTTGCACTAAGGATTGATTATTTCTATTTTTAGCTCACTGGATTGAAATTTTTGTTTTGTCAGAAATCATCTGGAAATTGAAATTTTTTAGGATGTTTCTTCATAAAAGTCTTAATTTATTGGTCATTGTAAAGGAATGAAATTATTCGTTGCATGAAACTAATAATTATGTTGCAGGAAATTTCGGTGCTTGTTTGAAACTAAATGGCATAAGATGTCGAGTCAGGGAGCAATACCAGCCCCAGGACCAATCGTTGCACAATCTTTAGATGCTTGGTCACAAAATCTGTTAGTAGTTTGTATTATTGGTCACTCATTATCAATGAAAGAACGACGTTTAATTTTTACTGTTTTTTTCATTTCTTCTTTAATTTGAGATCAGGTGAATTAACCGAATATGTTAAAACTCCAGCTAATTCAGAATTTATATAATTGCCAGGACGGACAGTGGAGGATTAAATGGATCAGCATCGAAATATGCACGGATGGAGGGAATGGGACTTAGAATTGGTGAGGGTGAAGATCCCGGATCGGATAATAAAGAACGATTCGCACGTGAGAATCACAGTGAAATTGAACGACGGAGGCGGAACAAAATGACGCAATACATTAATGAGCTTGCCGAAATGGTACCCCAGTGCGCTGCTCTTGGTCGCAAGCCGGATAAGCTAACTATTTTACGGATGGCTGTCTCCCACATGAAGGTCATTTTGGTTGATATTAATATAAACGGTTGAGTTTTCTTATGCGTGACTGTAAATGATTTCAAACCTTTATAATCTTTGTATATAAACTTATTAAATTGTTTGAAATGGGATTTTATTATAACATGTGTAAGTAATTTCCGTATTTCTTGTTAAAATGATTTTGCTGCATATTAATATAAGCAAAGGAGTTATCTGTTGCAGGCAATTCGTGGTAGTTCACAAAATGAAGCCTCGTATAAACCATCTTTTTTGACAGATCAGGAGTTGAAACATTTAATCTTGGAAGCAGCCAATGGCTTTTTGTTTGTTGTTTATTGTGATACAGGAAGAATTCTTTACGTGGCCGACTCAATTGTTCCTGTTCTCAATATGCGCCAGGTTTTCATCAGCTCTTTAAAATGATATACTAGAAAGTTTTTTTTAATACTCAAATTTTTAACTACTGAAAATTATTTTAGTATCAGATATTGTTTTAGGATAATCTTAGTTTATCTCCCAATGAAATAAATTGCTATCGGCTTATTTGTTAGTGGAATTTTATATTTCATAAGAGTAGGATTTTTTATTACTGGTAGTGGCGAGGAATAAGAAAGCTATCACTGAACAAAAAAATATAAATTTAAATAAATGTGTAAATTATCAAATACCTTGGCTGATCGCTATTGATAGCATTTCAGTTTTGTCATCCAATGTTGCTTTATTTTTTTTTATTTTTTTCATTTCGTTAGTCATCGGCTAAACTGTCGTCATTTAAGGATGATTGGTTGCATCATGTTATCTACGATCTAGTACATCCTGATGACATAGAAAAAGTGAGGGACCAGTTATGCGGAAGTGAAGCAAGCTTAAACCGAGTTCTGGATTTGAAAACTGGCACTGTTAAAAAAGAGCAAGGTTCCATTCGTATTCACATGAGTTGCCGTCGTGGTTTCATTTGCAGGTAGAGTTATTTTCTCCATTTTAGGCTCTGTCTCGCCACTGAAGTTCTAGAAGTAATTTATACAATGAAATTAATACGATTGATATCAGATTTCATTTTGGCATCATTCTTACATATTGAATAAATAGATTCCAACTTTTAAGTGGTTCATCTGAGCTCTATTTGTCGATAGAAAAGTAAAATCAAGAATAAAAAATACGAAAATAATCCATTACGTTTCATATGAGGACGCTATGTAGGGTGAGATCAAGAACATCAATCTAAATTATAACAATTTAAGTTAGATGGTTGTTGATATTGTTGAAAATTTTTTCTATTTTATGAACAAGGACATTTTGTGATTTACATGTTTTATCTAGAATGAGATTGGGACCATTGGAACCTCTTCATCGGCTTTGCAATCGACGGCCCATTTTTACGCATAATGGACAGAATTATGTAGTAGTGCATTGTACCGGTTACATCAAGAATTCGCCACCGAGTGGTCTTGGACTTGATTCACCGCCATCGAGCTGTCTTGTTGCTATTGCACGATTGCAGGTTGCCAGCATGCCGATTAGTAGTGAACAAAATTCTACGTCGCAGTTTTCAGTAAGACTTGCAGAGGATGGAAAGGTGAAACAATTTTTATGTTTTGTTCTGGAATTTCAATGTCTTTTGCGATGCTTATCCGAGATATCAAAACGCATTTTTTATTTCGTGGTTTTTCTAGATAACATTTGTGGAACAGAGAGCGGCGATTCTGTTGTCTATGCCTACGGAGCAAATATTAGGGCGTTATTGGTGGCAGATTGTACATCCTGCAGATGAACAAACTGTGCACGATACTTTCATGCATATTATCCAAGTAACTGACAGTACTTTCATCGTTTCTACATTTTTGTCTCTTCTTATTACTCATTAAAGAGCAAGTTACTGTGAGAATTTCAACTTGAAAATTTTCATGGTTTTCATAACCTAAATTGAAAAATTACAGAATCCTCTACTTTTGAACACAGTTCATTAAAATAGAATATTTCTTTTCGTTGCACTTCAGTCGTTTATGCTGGCAGTTGGTACTTTGTTCCAGAAATCAATAGAGATAATACCGCTCTGCCTGAATTATTCCTGTTTTAGACTTGATTGCATTATCTTACAGGACCAAAGTACACAAATATCAGTTCGGCTAAGGACACAAGCAGATTTCATCCCATGCGCAGTCATCGCCCATAGATTTTTAAACCCATATTCGGAGCAGTTTGAGTATGTGGTTGCTACGCATATAATGATTCCAAGTGACAATGAAAGCTGGCAAACCGGCTCCCAGGTAAATTGGTTCGTCAATGGAAATGGATTGCAAAACTGTAGTTATTATTTAATTTTCATGTAATTTTGTTCTAGTGTTAATTGTTTATGAGGGTTGAAGCAGAGTAACAAACAGGGATAGTTTTAATAGTATTGTGCTTTACACATTTAGCTAGGAAATGTTATCCACTACTCATCATTCTCTTTAATTATATGATTTCAGGTGTTTCCAGCTGAGTTTGACCCAGCGCCAGGTGAATGGTCATCCACTGCCAGTTTTGAATCGGATAGTATTCTACCTGGTACCAGAAGACATTTGTGGAACACAGAACAATGGGAACAGTATGGTCAACGGTAATGAATGGGGTAATACGTTTTTGCACTAAATTGCTAACTACCGTGATATTTCATACTTTTGTTATATAATTAGTTTACTATCTGTGAAGATATATGCATGATTGTAGAAGAAGATATTTGATAATAAACCTGTATAAATAAAAAATTGTGATACAAATAACAGAGACAATTGCAACTGCACAGTCTAACACATTTTTGAGTCCCTTCTCTTATCATAAACGGCAAATGATAAAACATGATAATATACATAATTTATCACAAGATTTTTAAAGAAGAAATTAGTATCCTTTTGCTCTGTAAAATGTAAAAAGACTGGCCGTAGGAAGTTGAGAATTCAGAAATTCAAGTGAAGTTTTGTAAGCATAGTCATGCTAACAGTGAGCCGAAACATTTCACCCTTCGCTAACGGAAAGCCATTCTACTTGCGAAAAGCAGATCGCCGGAATATGTAACAGCATATCAGCGTGAATCACTAATATTTTCATCAACTAACGACGATACGTATTCCGTAGCTGATAACTCAGCGGTACGATGACGCGAAAATTTTTTTTCCGGCAATTCGGAAATATTCAGTTCGGAATTAATATTAAACATTGGATTCCACATTCCCTGCACCGAAGCGACTTGAGCAGACTGTCGCGAAACCAAATTGACTACGGGAAGACCACTTCGAGTTCGTAATAGATTAAAATGCCTCCCCACTTGTTCTGCATCGAAATTCTTTAAAACAATCTGAATTATGCGTCCATTTCCATATTCCGCTCTTAGCACGGGAATATTCTGCCTGGAAACAAATAGCACTATATCCAGGTCAACCATAGAGAAGGATATATCGAATGTAAATGAATTTAAACGAATAGAACCGTAATTTCAATTGCACGGATGATCGAAAGAATGTCAGAACGTATCAAAGCATATGTTCTAAAAGCTTGATAAAAATCGCAAAGACACTCTCATTTGCACGGTCAGTGAAGAGCATGATAATAAAAACGAAGGTTTCGTTAGAGTATTAATGATATTACTTTCCCCTAGAAAGTCAACATATGCAAGTGTCTGAAGTGAAGAAGCATGATCACGATAAGCTGCATCTAACGGCTGATATCATCTGCTCCAAAATAGGCACGCAAACGGTTGGAATGATCAGTAGAATAGTTCGCACTGTGGATTTTTTGTAATAATTTTTCTAATAATAGTCACACTGTGATTTTTAAATATTCAACAGCTTGAACTTAAACTACAACCAGCTATGGTTCTGTGATATATGTTTCGATATATTACTTAGGATATGAGGAATAACCTGTCTACACGTTACAAAGATGATCTTTCAACACTAAAAAGGGAGAATGAGAAAAAAAATCGACAAACCTAATAGGTTGTACGTAAACGACCACGGAAGGATTCTGTGATGCGAACTGAGCCAACAATCCACTGCTGATGAAGTGCCTTACTCCTGAGCTGCATTCATTCTTGCGGCAAAATCGAACAGTAATCCGATGTAGTTGAGGGATATATTTCGTTGCACCATTGTTGAACGGTGTACAAGGATAACCACTGACACGCCATCCATAATTTAAATGCATCGCTGCCGTATAACATATCTTAATTCTATCCACGCGTGGTTTTGATGGCATTGCGTTGGTAAAAATACGCTAAAATTCACGGCCAAAATAGAATGTATACAAAACAATGCACATTTAAGTCAAGTTGTATGATTTATTAGTAATAATTTCTAGCTAAAAAAATTCTTTATGAAGAACATTTCCTGTTCCTCTTTTCATGTACGGCATGAAACTAATATTTTGTTCGATCTACAATGTTCGTGAACTACTTGAATGTTATTTTCAATAGACTGCCAAGCCAAAAAAAGAAATGATCTCAATTTCATTAGGAATACCGAAAAAATTCTGAATGAAATTGAGATTATTTCTGGTAATAACGAACAGTATGGTGAAGCGCTTTCCGTACGAAATATTTGAGTCCGGAGAAGGTAGCAATGAGTAGTGCGGGACAAGCGGTTTGCGTATCGGGCATGTAAAAAAAGGACGGGTGGGCGGGTCTTGGATCATTTCCTTAAGGTTTTAAGGTACCAAAGCCTAGGCTTCAGGGGGTGCACTGTGTTAGGTATACGGGATAGTCAGACGTTACTGGGTTGCGAAGTGTGCGTATCTACTATATGTATGAGGTAAACATGAGATAGTAGATTTAGGAAGTGTGATGGGAGCAGATGGCGGTACAATTCCAAAGCGTTGCGAGCTTGTAAAAAAGAAGAAGAAGAAGGAGAAATTGGATAGGAATGTAGCGAATGCGACACGATGGCGGTTGTGTCGGCTAAGCCAGGAAGCGCTGAAGAGACCGATTGTAGCATGCAGATTGGGAAAGTACGTCGTATATTGTTTTTGTTTGATAAAATTATTTAGGGTTTTATGTATGTTATTTGCTTTGGAATTCATTACTGTTGGCTATCTATTGATACATTTCTTCTTTATGGGGAAGCATTTGGAGTGTTAGTTTAGTATTCCTCCCACGATCACCACCATAATTTTTGAAAGGATGTGTGGTAAAAAGCTCTTACCAGTTATAGTATTAAAACATTTTTGTTGTTGAAAATAGAAGTACTTTTCGGTGAGTCTGAACATGATCTAATAATTTTGACTTCTGATTATTGTCTTGGAGTGATTACTTTTACTTTCAGCTTATATAATAAAGAAGAAGTTCTCAATGCCATTTTATCGAAGAAAATTGGTGAGTGTGAAGTGGCAAAACACATCAAAGGTTTGAAGGATATCAAGGAGCTGAAGCTAACGGATAATAAAGAATACAAGGAGAGTGGCGCTGACAAGGGAGATATCTATAAAGACCACAATATTGCGCCGTTTTGCTGTCCAGTTACTGGGATTTTAATGAATGGCAATCATCCGTATGTTTGGCCCTTGTTGCTTTTGAGGAAAAAAATATGAAAATGAGTTCCCAATTTTATTCTTCTCTTTGGTATTTCTTTTATGTCTCTTTACATTCCATATCCCTATATAATTAGAAATAAACTGTCTCTTCTAATTATTGTTTGCCAATTTTCTTTTTCATTCTAAGTATTTTTGATAGATCAAGTGCTACATGTTCGAAGTATAGGTTGAGTCCCTCTTTTGTAGCTGTTTTTTTTTATATTGGTCGTCTTTTTATTTTTATAAATTTGTATTCGTGAATGCCGTTTTCAGATTTTAACCTATTTTGCGGAAACTTCCAGTTAAATTCTCCACTTCTTCATAGAAATATTTTCCGCAGTAAAATGTAAAATTCACCTTTTTAAATTCTTATCCTTGGTCTAAAAAATAATACTTCAGCTTCACCGTTAACTGGCTATGTGGATGTGTCATTTCGGAAAAAGCAATTGAAGAAGTGAAGTCAGATGTATGCCATGGTTGTGGAGGTCCATTCAGTAAAGATGACCTTATTCTACTTAATCCCCCACAGGATGTCCTTGAAATTTATAAGAAGCTGGAAGAAGAACGACTAAAACGAAAATTAAGCAAGGCATCAAGTCAGTATATGCAATAGTATTATGAGTTATGTATGTATATAATCGACCACCACCATGAAAATTGGAGCTGCGGTTTTTATGCTTCTCAATGTAATTTTTGATTTTAGGAGTCACAGATGTTTAAGCTTGAAGATCTCGTGTGGACATAGTTATTTCGACAATAATAAGATTTAAAAAGTCACATTCACGATTGGATGTTGGGAACTGCAGTCGTAAATTTACTAAATGAAAATATATTTTAGGGTCGACAGAGAAAAAGTCAAATACGATATGTAAAATGGAGGAGATCGAGTCCACTCAGAAAAAAGAGATAGTAAGAGAGCATAAGAGAGAGGCGGCAACGTCGGATTTTAAAGGGTTGCTCAGAAAAGCGGAGAAACGGAAATCCGACAAAATCAGTTCAATTCAGGATTCAAATGCATCTGCAGCATACAAGTCACTGTTCACGACATGCGAAGAAGCAAAACATAAACCTGAACCACATTGGATAACGCACAACCCACTCTTCTATTAATATATTGTATATAATTCAGATAACTATGATTGAAGCATTTTACTCATAGTGCAGTACGTCATAACATGTATTTTATGCGGAAGAGACAGATATTATAAAACATTTTATTTCCATCAGCGATTTCATATCATATTTCAGAGAAATGCAGTTCCATTTCTTCATTATTCAATCCTTTTAATCTGGATAAGAACTTGAGAAGCCAGAGCGAAAACACACTATTAAGGTACTGCGCCTTATTTTAATTTTGCCGAGTCCCCTCCCAAAATGTGTTTTAATTTAACATATTTTGCTTAATGAGGAGAATAATCTGAAAAGAAAACTACGTAAACGTAAGACTAAGATTTGGGCTAGAGAACAGACGAAATGATTTTGCTGGAACAGCTGAACTGCTACTTAGTTTCCGTTTGCCCAACTTTCTTTTTGAAGCGATGTAGAGTTGCTGAAAGGAATGAATTTTTAATGTTCAAACATAATTTCATGCTGCTAGAAACTGTCCAAAATGGTTAAAATAGGTTAAATGACCTTGCAACCGCAGTCTTTGATTTCGCTCTTCTCCCGTGTGTAATTATTTCTCCTCATTGATTTCACATGGCATTTTAAGCTTCCTTACCTTGCAAAACATTATTGGTTCAATCTTCTCATCGTAAGTAGGAAACTTTTTTGTAGCTGAAAAAATTATCGGTCGAATCCTCTCACAGAGACGATGTACATTATTCCTGAAATATGTTAATGTGATTTTATACTAGTCCTTTCAAAATACCGCTATTTTCACTTTATTTATTTAGCTTCAGTAATTACCTTACCTTTCAGCATATTGATAAAGATCATAGATTGAACAGAGAAGCTGACTCTCCACTGCACTGTTTTTTATCTTTCGCTGTATGCAGTCGAAAAATCTGGTCAAACCATTACGATAAAGCATCATCAGATCTCGTTTTAACAAATAATCACTGAAAACATAACATACGTTTTTATTTCTAATTCGTAATTACTGGTCAGCGACGAAAGCTCAGTCCAATAAAGAAATAAACCGAGGATTTTGTTTACGAAGCATAATCATGTCTTCAATGACAATGAAAGGAGAAAAGAGAAAAGTTTACACATATTTGAAAAAGTTCTAAAAATTCCCCCTCCCATCACTGTCGCAATAAATCCATTTTTTATTTTTTTAACCATTTCACTTGTGTTTTACTTTATAAATGAGTTGGAAATACAAGGTGAACTAAAATATGAAAATAAATCCTGGTTGAAATTCCAAAAAATCCTGTTTAATTCAATCCCAAGGAAAAAAATTTCTATAACATTTGTTTATTAATGACACATGCCACCTACGTGTTATTACAGAAATCCAATGTGCAGAATGTATGAATCAAAGTGACAAGAGCTTCGAAATCATCCAGCAGAGCGGATAAATGTATTGCTAATGCGCCTATGCGAGCAAGGTGATACTGAAGCGCATCTCCCCGATCAATATCTTCACATGAAATCGTTATTACATTCTGCAAATCGCTCACGATCGAATTTCTCATGAATCTTTTAATTTGAGAATAAATTTCAAAGACAGAAAATAACCTCAAATATGTTATCTGGATTATAGTTCGTCCTTTTTCTAGTCAAAAAACGCCCGAACAAATAATTCGATGCTTCCTGGATATCTCCTTTGTATAGAGCTAACTGCGATAGCCGATAGTATGATTTGAAATGTGGAAATCTGAAACAAAATGTGATCAGCTGTTTAATTTTATCAAAATAGAAAAATTGGATTTATGAATGAAAGAAAATGTACGCGTCCGAACGATGCAATTATTGGATTGAACATTTAACGTACAAATAAGGGATAAAATTGAATAATATGTGAATAAAATAAAATTGACAGCTACTGCAGACCTAAGAATACAAATGTTGAAAGCTTCTTCGCAGAGGTTCAGGATTTCCAGTTTGAGCGCGGTCCGTTCTATCAAATCTTCAAGCACTCTTTGCACAGCATCAGTTGACTCTGTACACTTATATATGAGATTGCTGACAGCTGCTTTTACTTGTGGACAGTGCGAAAATTCGTCGCTATCTTTCTGCTTACAAACACCGTGGCTCCTGAAACCATCAACATTTTGCACAACACAGGTTGTTCTCGAAAGTTATTTGAATTTTAAACAACAGTTATGAGTAAGAATACTTTAAATATTTTTCAATTTGCAATTAGTTCCATCTTGTTGAATCAGAAAAACTTGCTTTTCCAAAAAAAAAGAAAATCTAGAAGTCGAAACAAAAATCAGCCAAGAGCTAACCGGAAACATAAAGCAAAGGCATGCATTAACATTAAGTCCTCTCGATTCCAATCTACTTCTCTTTCCAGCAAGCACTTGAGCAAACAGGCATAAGCACGATAGTGGATCTATAACAATACTGTACTTTATCAATAACTATTGAATGCTGTATTCTCATATAGTTAGAAAAATAAACAGAAGTTTAAGCGTCTTTTTTCCTCTTTCTCCTTACCAAATAACGAATTAATAAATTATTAAAATTATTCACCTCGATTGCTTCAGCATGTTCCTGCCTCTTGGTATTGATTCTACTTGGATACTGAACTCCCGTAGCTTCCAATTGAAGAGCACACTTATGATAATGATGAAACACCTAAATAATCTTTGAAATCTTATTCATTTGTTTTTGAATGTTAAATCAAACAGCAAATTCAAAAATTCAAAATTTCAAATCCAAATTTGAAAAGATTTAATTTTATTTCAATTTAGCTAAATTACATCCTCGAGAGCGTTTCCACATTTCTCTGTAATTTTCGCTAAGAAATAGTGACATCGCCATTTGTCTACATCACCATCTGGCAAGCGTGATATGCAGATCTCAAATTGACGTCGACTTTCTTCCAGAAGACCTCTGATCCGACGCTCAGCCCATCGATGTCGAATATCATCCATAGGAAGCTAAATTTTCTACTTTATCAAAGTGTCATAGAGAATACCACGACTTTTATACTACGTTTGTACTATGTTCAAACCTTGTCTCTATATCGACGTATTCGAGAATTAATTTGATATAAAGCACTACCAAAATTGAATATAACGTATCGATCAAGTGGATCAAAAAAAAGCGCCATTCGAAAAGAAAAGACACTACAATCAAAATGCGGAAACATTTCATCTTCATCCACCTTAAAATAATGAAGATTAACGATTAAGTAAATTATAAAATCAGTGCATAAGAGATCAAATCTACTTTGATTTTTTTTCGTTAATCTTATAAGAAATAACCTGTGATTTTTAATTGCTGTAAGAAAAAACATGGGGCTTTTCTTACAGCAATTAAAAATCACGGGTTATTTCTTACAGCAGTTAAAAATCAATTGACCGAAATGTTAAACAAAAAAAAAAAAACAAACTGTGGAGAACAATATACACTCTGTGACCAACTTTGTGACACGAATATTAAAATATTCGTATCACAAAGTCGATCAGTGGCTGATGTCTTTCTGATAATTAGTGGAGGAAAACTTGCCGTGAAAAAAACTGAGGTAGAGGCGATAGCTAGAACGGTCCAGTCCCAAAAAAATACTTCGTTGGGTAATGCAGCAGAAGCACAAAGAAGGAACAATTTAGCGTAATAGACAGCATCATCTGCTTTATGATTGCGATATGAATGTAGTGCCAGTTGATAAAAAACTCCCGATCGGAGTTGAGAACTTTCTGCACATCGAGGCCAATCTGCGTGAACCTCTGTTTGCGCAATGAAGCGATCAAATGCGAACATCTGAAAAATGAATTGATTATTGCAAAAACAAAAAATTTACTAACGCAAGAACTGAAAGCATAGTGATACTGAAAATTTTCTTTACAACATAATAAAAAAGCTGATAGGAATAAGTATAACTTTAGTGCCTTGTAAAATCTCTCAGATTTTTCGTTGCTTTTTTAATTAGTTTTAATTTCCAATTTTTCAGTTCTAAGCACAGTGATTTTTATTTCTCACAATAATAATCCATTCCCTTCCTTTCTTTACATCTAGTTCGATTTTCCTTGTAACTATGCAGGAGAAAAAAATGTATAACGGCACATGACTTTATGTACACTTCCATAATCTTTTAAACATGTTCATTACCATTTCTTTTTCATTCTCTGTAGATTCCACAAATGAAGATGCTTTTTTTTGCACAAACTCAATCAGATCAAAAGAGCAAGTGCCATCATATGGAGGTATTTTGTCAGGTAATAACAGCGACAATACATTTTCAATATCTTTCAAACTTGGCTCATGATTGTGTGTACCGCCATGTTCTTCCAACTGTCTTTTACGCCTTGATGGACACCTGAATGGTGGAAGTGTTTTAAAAATTTCGAATTTAAAATTTAGCTTCAAATCGATTTCACTATAGCTAAGCATTACAATTTACCCGTATAAGCAAAACAGACACTGATGTACTTCATCTATGAAAGCACGACTCTGCTCCATGCATTCTCGTGTTGAAAGAATCTCAGCTACTGCAGGATGAGCCCGAATTTTTGAAAATTCATTCAAAACAAATAGTGGAAAACTGTGCTGAAAATATATTATTATTATAATACTGTGCTGAAAAATATTATAATATGTTATAATATAAGTCTTTAATCCAACACTATATCTAAACTATATAGAAAATATGAACTGTTTAAAGAACACATAACAAAGCTTGGATTATTTTCAGAGTTTCAGTATTTTAAGATGTTAAGTAGTGGTGGTTACGAGCTATATCTCTAACTAATGTCCAAGAATGAGGAGCAATCTGAAGATAAAGCCTGCATCCACAATCCATTAACATAACACCGGCAGTAACTAAAGTACTGCTATGAACCAAACAACTAACAGGAGTAGGAGCCGCCATAGCCTTAGGAAGCCAGCTACCAAAAGGATACTGCCCACCCTTAATAAAAGCAGAAACAAACAACATAAAAACAACCAAAGAACCAAAAAACTGATAAGAAATACTACCCAAAGAAAACAAAACAAAACCGTTAAAAAACAAAAAAATACAAAAATCCCCAATACGATTAGTAAAAACAGTACTTATAGCCCCCCTACGAGAAACAACATTATTATAAAACAACAC